CAAGACAACCTTCTATTCACCACTATATGGGTCAACTTCATGTTTTAACGATAAGAAGGCTTTGAAACAGAATCGAAACGTTGGATATTTTTCAGTAAAGTGCAATTATTCTTTTGCTTCAAAACCAAATAAAACACATATTTTATACTCGTTCCATCGAACAAGTTGAATACATTTAAATAGAATATAGTTAAAGAAACATATAGAAAATCGACCATTGCCAATAAGACCCAAGTAATGTAACTTAGTTTGGTTACTTTTCAGTTACCTTAAAAATACGTAAAGAAAGATTTCAGAGTCTTCTCTGAAAGAACCGAAGACAAAATTTGTTGCTCTCCTTCCCCCCCCCCCCCACACACACACGCATAGAATAGATCCTAGTAAACAACAAATCCTTGAACAATATTTTTTTCAAAGTTGACACAAGCCTAGAATCAATAATCGGAAGCCCACGTGTAATAGATTATAACTTCCCTGACAATTACTATTTTTTAACGAAATTTCATCCAAGAATTCGCCGATAAGCGAGCAATAAACTTAATAAATTTCAATTAAATACAGTTACCAATTTTCAAAGTACAAGAGATTACATAGGTCGATATTTAAAATCGTGAGATTCGACTACCCCTTATGGAATCGCTGCGATAAAACGTTTCGTAGGTTCTCGGATGACAGAGGGCGAGGAAAATATGTATATGTGTATATATAGACGACCAGGAAGCGCCGGAGGAGGGGGAAAGCGTTTTCCAAGAGACGCCAGGAACGTCGGAGCGCTACTACTCTCGCTGTGAAATGTATTTTCTATTGAAATTTCGGTGAACCGTGTAAATCGTCACCGAGGCCACTCATTGCCACCTGTTTCGAAGCGTTTACGCTTGGTTCCTTCCGCTTTTCCGGTTTCTTGCTGGGGTAACCAAGCAGGAAGTGTTTCTTGCAAGGTACCTGTCGCCGGAAGGACCCAAACCCGAGGTGTCACGGTCCGTAAGGGCCGTGAGAGTGCAGGACGATAGGTGGATCCTTTCTGGACACAGCGGAGCAGAGCAGGGCAGGCAAGGCCAGGGAGCAATGTCCCTTCGAGTCATCCCCTTCCTAACGTATATGTAAGGTATGCACGCCGTTACTCGCCTCCACGGTTGTCGACTCTTTTTATCGAACGACGGAATCTTCTACGATTCCTTACCAACGTCCCCCTCTGTGGAACGTTAACCCCCTTTTCTGCCTTTCTCTCGGTTTTCAAAAAGATACGAAATACTGTAGGTTTTCAGCAGGAGGACTTATCCTGCCTAACGAGCCAGTATGCTAAGGGAGTAGCGTGCCTCCGAACAATTTCTTTGATATTTTCTAATTGTTTATCGCGAGAACGTACGATGTAACATTTGTGGAGTAATCCTTTGACTTTTTCAACTTTTTCGACTTTGAATATTTGTTAAAAATATCACCTTATGGAGAATGACAGAACGAAACTCTTTTATGTTTATAAACTTGGAAGACCTCGTTCCAACTAGAGGTACAGTATTGCGGGCTGCCGTTATTCGTTGGTTACAGTTTAGGTGTTCGGCTCGCTAATCGGTGCTCGCGGGAATCCAAGTAAGACGAAGCGAAATAATGACTAAAACGAACGGGAGGAACAACGGCGCGCCGTTTTCTTCCACTCGCGGCTTCTTGCGGTCAGACCGATGGATAAGGATATCTGCCATGAACTCTAAACAATCGAGTCTCGAGTCTCGGACAGTACCGGCGAGACTTGCGAGATCTCTGTCCAGCCCAAGGACTGGGGCTCCCTCGTATCTCGCCCTTTCTATTTGCGTTGACCTCAAAAACTGAACGTTGACCTTAGCGAGGGTCGCCCTCGTCGATCAATATAGGCGACCACTGTACTTTCCGGAGCAAATAGGAAAAATATCGTTTACGCCTCTCTAGGGTGTAGCTGGCTTGATAAGATAGCCACTGCTGTCGCAGCGCACTGTTGCGTACGTGATATTAAGGAAGGAGATAGAGAAAGGCACGGTTTCGTTCTCTGCTGTACCTATCCGTGTAGTTTTCCGCACCACCTTCGGCTGCGACGAGTTCCCCGTGTAGTCTCTGCCCCGTACAAACTGTACAAACTCCGTCGAAAAACGACGATACGTTGTCCACGAGTCTGGCTGCATGTCATTATCAAACGATGAAATAAACAGGGAGCGAGGGGAGGGGGAACGCCCTATATTCGACGTCTCCATCCGTCTTTCCTTCTCTTCAATGGTCCTAATTAGGTACACACAGTGTACACACAAGGCTCTATTGCGACAGACCAGTACCGTTCCAAGTTCCAACTGGAAACCATACGCGACGGGAAGGGGTTAAGTGTCATCTTAACCTCCTATCGGCATTTGGATTCCTAAATCGACTCCAATATCTGCTCGATGATCCCACATCCATCGTAAAGCCAACATATCGTTCGTTTTTTTATGTTTGGTTTATGTGCAACGTGTACTTTGCTTCTTATTTTATCTATTCCCATGTACCAACAATTTTCGTTACCGATCATTTCGACCTGATGGTGTATATTGTTTATTGTTATTGATAGTCGTATCAAATAAAAGATATCAATTTTTTGGCAAGCATAATACATCGAATGGGTTCTATATAATACTGAATAATACTTAATAATTTTGTATAATACAGTTCTACTACAAAATGTAGATATAAATGGTTATCCTGCAAGCGTTCATTTTCTAAGTTGCGTCACCAGATATGATTTTCCTTCTTTTGAATGTTTCCATACATTAAGTTTTTCTGTTGAAAAGAAGAAATTTCAAACAGGAGAAGTTGATGAATTCTACTCTATTCTGTGACACTGTCCATTTTTAACTTGGATTTTTACATTTTAAACATTTTTAACCAACAAAACTAATAAAAGGCCATAAGCCAATGTTCAATACCGCTTACCGCTTCATTTCTTAAACAAAGTTGCTTGCGAAACCGTCGCGTACTTTGTTTTGCCATAAATCAGAATTTTTGCTGGTAAGCTGTTCGAAAGTGTCGCAACGGCGCTATAATTACGCTGTAACCTGTCACCCTTGACCATGCGAATAGCAGTACTCCACCTTTAACGCCGGGAAGATAGGGTGCACGCATGTAAATTGTAATGGAAATTCGTGCACCGGTAGTCGTAACGTAAATTACCGAACCGCATCGGTCGTCAAATTTTCGAGTTTACACGTTGCAAAACCCGCACACGAGAATGCTGCGATTGACGTTTCTTGATTCGCAAAAATTTACTTACTTTGCGCGTACCTACATTCGCTGTTTAGTAATCAATCACGCTTGGTCTCTTTATCTTATTGTTATTATATTATTACTTTGTATTTTTCATTTATACTATCGTGCAGTAGAGCTATTAATGGCTTCAATTTACAATTAGTATTCATAAAGGAGAAATAAAAAAAAAAAAAGACCCAACACTTTTGAAGGAAATATAAATTAATTGTTACGGGTGTTCGAATTTATTTTGTTAATAAGTTAGTTTCAAAGAAACAAATTACTTCCTTCATGTAAAATAATTAAAATAACCTTAAAGTAAGCTGAAACAAAACAATTAAAATTAACTGTAGGAACTACTATTTAATAATTCTATAATACTATTTAAAATCTGGACTAATCGTCCAGTTCTCCTCTGCTGCTTTTTCAACACGATGCTTTAGAGGCTCTTCATTCCAAGAAAAAATAAACAAATTAATTAATTTTTCTATCTGAAAATTATGCAGACCTTATTAGAGTTTATCATAGAATGTTAGAGTATCAAAAGAGTACCGTTGAAAGTCCCATAGCACTGTAAATTTTTCGTAACGTGTTTAAGATTAAAAACTTGATATGCAACAAAGAAATTGTTGTCTTCGAGCTAAACAAAGAGCTAAGTTTTTGTAGAGTTCTCAGTCGTTTAAGTTGGTCCATTGTGGAGCGCGTCCGCGACGTAGAAAAATTCTGAGCGTATCTCCGATCTTAATTATAACATTGTGGTCATAGTGGTGGCGGGCGAAGAACCGCGCAAGTGGCTTTTCGAGTATGAAAGGATCGTTGTGTCATACGTATAACGGAGAGCCACGAGGCTTAAAGGCAAGCAAGGCAAGGCAAGGCAAGGCAAGGGCTTGGCTTTGGCTAAGAAGTCGGTTGGCCGTCGAACGACGATGCTAGTCGTTTCTCAACCCTTTCGTGGTTACGTCACGTTAAAAAAGCTATTTGGGGTCAACACCCCGCTGCAGCGACACGTGTAGTACTCCTCGACTCTGTCTCTCCGTTCTCCCTCGACCCTCTCCGCCGTCCTCTTTTCCTCGATATATGAGGCAGCCCTCTCCTCTCTGCCTACTCCTTGCGACTCGGAACGCCATTGCTGCCACCTCCTCCGATAGTATCCCTTCTACTCGGCTTAGTTTCCACTGGATTTCTAAGTTCCCTAGATACTAGCCAGGCCCTGTTCTAACCGCAAACGAGGGAACAACGTTCCAGACACGTTTCACGAATCGAGCATCGCGACCATCAACCAACCGACGCGACGATTCTCCAAGATTACGTCCGACACCCTGTTCGTTCGTTCTGAAATAACCGTCGTTCTCATGTAAACTTATACGGTGATCGTCTAGTCACAAGCATCGTATCGGTAATCCGACAATTTTTAGCGCTAGCTCTTGCAACAATTGCTAAAAATTGTCGAATCAACTGATAATCGCTAGTTGTATTTTCAGAGGTAACCGCGTCCGAATACGTTCTGCTTTAAGCTGCTACTTTTTTCGTCGATCTCATCGATTTGCATGGAACATATCCGGTACGATTCTTTCAGAAATGCCTTGATTTTCGATAAGATAAGAAAAGATCGGACGAGGCTAAAAAACGCGGAGAAAACAATCGCGGATAGGTTGTTTTTACACGGCACATTGTAAGAGATAACCGAACGCGGCCGCGTATCTGGCGAGATCTCCGTCGAAGGAAGGCAGCAGGAATAGTAGGGAGGTCACGAGATTAGAATGAACGGCGCAGCCCCAAGCGATACAGCCCTGGCCGTGGGCGTGCAGGCGGTAGGAAAGCCAACCGAGTTTCTCCAAACGCGCAAGTCGACGTGGAACTAGCGTGCTGGTCTCGCTAGAGCGAAACCAAGGACACTAGAAGAATATAGCAGCAGCAGCAGCAGCGGCGGTGGCGGTGGCGGCGGTGGCGTCGACGGTGGTGGTGACGACGGCGGTAGCGAGTGGCGGCAGCTAGGCAGAGGAATCGAATCATCGTGGCGTCGGGCGGCGGTATCGAGCAGAGAGTCAAATCATCGTGGCAGCGTCGGCGACGGCAGCGGTGGCGGTGACGGCGGCGATAGGTCCCCTTCACCCCGACCCACGTTTGTCTACGTGTACGTCTCTGCCTCTCTACCCCGTCCCCGGTATCGTCCCCGCCGTGCCTACGCCCCCACCCCAGCTCCGCCACCGACAGACAATCCCTCCGTTCTCCCCTGCCCGACTCTGAGACTCTCCGGAGCTTCCCCTTCCAGCGACTTTTTTTGTCCGTATACGCCTCGTCCATCGCGACAAGGCAGCTTCCAAGCCTTTTTATCAGTCGACCGAAAAGATCCGTGGGGATCCTTCCGCGACAGCGCCCCGCGCATCGCTTCAAACCTACCCTCGTGTTGGAAACGCGTCGCCTCGTGTATACGGATTCCGAACGATCACCCGAATTTTCTTCATTCATGTTTTTAGTTGTTCCGTATATACAACACGCATATACAAATATCGATACATATATATATATATATATATAATTGTTACCTCGAGAAGGGAAATAAATATAAAAATAAGAGCGCGGGAAACGATTCGCGCGACTCGATCGGTCGTTTCATCGAATCGATTATATATCGATCATCGACAATGATCGACGCGCAACAAGAGCGCGATAATGAAATCGTTTCGACATTTATTGCAATGGTATAGAACACGCGTGTCGGGGTAAACGTGTCAAGGTGCCGTCAGCGTAGCGCAACGATTCCGGTGACGACACGCGAGAACCAACACACTTTTGACTCGACGAGGAAATCGGACGAAAGTGCGTTTATTTCCATGGCAACGTGACGACGCACGGATTCTTGCCCCACGGATACGCAACAAGGCACCGAGGAACGAAGCGGAAGCCGAAGCGGCGACAAACTACTACCAGGATACGCAAATGTGGTTGGTACTTGTACATTTGCAGCTCAGAAGTTGAGAAACGGCCTCGTGGCGGAGAGCGTCCTCCGTCTCTCTCTATCTTGCGCCCGATGCTTGGCGAGTCTGTACAGGAAAAAGTGCGCAGACGCAAATCGCGGTTGCGTGTATAGCCCGCGACGCACCTCCTCCACAGGCGTCTCAACACGTCGTGAATTTCTTCCACGGGTTCTATTGCTCTCACCCCCCATAGCTCACCACTTTCCCGGTTGTCATCGAATATAACAGAGCTTATTTTCCCGGCTGTTATCAAATAGAACAGAGGTTACTTGACCAGCTGTTGCCGAATATAACGGAGGACAAGCGTTGTAATCGGGCAAAATTTCACACCCCAGGATCTTGCCTTTGTCGATACTTAAAAGTATTCTCGTTTTATTTGACATCTAAGAAATTTTGTATGTCTGCTCTTAAATTTAACCACTCTCAATATTTTCGTAAATTGTAATATTTCTAGTAGTCACATATTGTACAATAATGAAAAGAAAAATACTTTCGATTTGTTTGTTAGTAATATTACAATTAGAAAAATATTCAGTGCTTCAGTTCAGATAACCTTTTCGTATATAAAGTAACGATACCATTCATTATTTGGAAAAATTCCGTATATACGAATGCACGTATGTTTGTATATTAACCTATATTTGGCTCCATTACTTTTGAAGTGATACACGGCAAAATCCTGAAATTTTCGAAAAAGATCATCGAGTGGTTGGGGATTTCTTGACATAGGGGATGCTATATTTTATCGTGTAGTCGAAGGTCGGGCGAGCGACCAGGAATATTCTGCGACAATCTAGTTTTCCTTATTTCGATATAGGGACCATTTCCAACCGATTCGTAATCGTTCGACCTCACCCCTGCTCCTCGCGAAAGGAGCGTATCAACCTTTTTCGCCCTTCCTTGTAAATACTCGACATCTTTGTTCGACGAATCTTTCGAAAATATTGAAACGGTAACGAAACAGAAGTAAAAAGGAGTCCGCGAAACGCCGAAGGATGAACACGATATCATCGCATCGCATTTCGGTAACGTAATCCGTTCGGCTCTATTTTAAAAATTTGAACGGAGACTCGGATGCCCCTTTAACCCGCATTTTCCTTTATCAAAATAATACGCGTGGTGATAAGCGACTGTCGCGACCGCTGGAACCGCGCATGACGTCGCCGATGGGTAACAGCTTTGCCGAGTAGCTGCGCGAGTTCTTGGCTATTTTGCCGAAACGGGTGCGCAGTAATACGACGCGTCGGTGTCGTCGTAAGAAGTAGCTATGAAAGTGGGGAGAGAGAGAGGGTGTGTTCGAGAAAGACGTTCGATTCCGAATCGATCCGATAGGCAGATCACTTATTTTTGAAAATATTCGATCATGTCATTCGATACATGATTAATCTTTTATAATTTTTTTATAAATATAGATATAATATAGATCCATATTTAAATAAAAGATTTTTAAGTATACACAAGATAAATGTCATAATTAGACAAATAATTTACAATGCATCGATCGATAATCGTAGAACTCGATTTTTCAACGAATCGATATTTTGGTAATTCTGATCTAAAATCAATTCCGAAATCGATTCCAGAATCGAACATCCCTAGTGGGTAATAGCTTTACGAGTAGCTGCACGAACTCGTGGCGACTTTGCCAGAACGAGTGCGCAGTAACACGACGTAAGAAGTAGCTACGGAGGTGGAGAGGGAGAGGGAGAGGGTGTGTTCGAGAAAGAAGCCCGAAGAACGAAGGCGTACAGGCAGGGGAGGTGGCAGGTTTAACCGTCGGGCAGCGAAAGGTTCGACGGTCAGGCGTAAGCGAAGCCGGGTCATTTTTGACCCATCGTAACACTTATCCATTCATTCGGGGATAACAATTACCTATCATATTTTTATCTTATTATTTAAAAAAATTATCGAATAAATTTTGGTAGTTAATAGGCGATAGAAAAGACACATTCTTGAAATACAAATATGTTACTTTAATTGCTTATTTATAATGTATGCGTAACGGAGCCATTATGGAAACATTTTGCTTACCATTACACAGATACACTGTCTGTAACATGAAGTAGCTGTGCTTTCGATCCATTTTATTTCAAACTTGACGAATTTCATTGACGATATATTAACTTTATAATTTATTTCCTTATGTATGTGAACATTTGTTTCTTCTCTCCGTCAAGGGAACGAGGTTCTAACTGAAAAGAAAGTAATAACGAGCAATATCTTGCATATTTCTTGAGATCTATAAACGCTACTTTTAGTTGTATCAGAATGCCACGTAATCACTAATTTCCAATTGTTGTGTAAAATAGTACGGGTCAAGATTGACCCAGCTTGGTTGGCGGACGGTTAAAGAAAGGTCTCGCCGGTGAGGAGAGTATGGTTGCAAGCGTGAGAACAAAGGGGCGAAAATAAGTGCCCTTTTTGAAGGGTGATCGAGGGTGAGGCGTAAGAAAGAGGAAGACGAATCGAGGGAACGCGTTCGTGTGGGTTTCGAAGGAGATAAAATGAGAAGATGTCGGTTAGGCAGAGAGAGAAAGAAGTCAGGCGATTCGTTCCTTGCGGGCTGCGGTCAGAGTGGGAGAATCAGCGCGAGAAAGGAAGATGGAATGCGGGAGCGAGAATAGGATAGATATCGTTGGAAGTGTGAGTACAGAGAGGGGAAACGAGAAGGACGAAACGCGCAGGATGGCACGAGGGAGTACAGGGTGTCGAGGGAAGGGAGGAGTGCGTGACGAGGAGGGTGAGTAGGTGGGGGCTAGATGTCGAGGGTGAAGGGGGTAGTGGGGGCTCGGTGGGTAGGTAGCGGTGGTAGGATTGCGGGAGGTTGTGCGCGGTCGGCTTCGGTGGTTCGGTTGAACGAGGGCGCGCAAACGGGCGGGTGTCGCGAGCGTTGCAAAGCGGTGAAGGGTACCACGAACGGAAAGCACGGCGTGGCGCTAGGCGGGCGTAGGCGAGGTTCCGTGACGGCCGTTCGGTGGCGCAGCAGGAATTCCCAGCACGGCAGGCACCGGGTTGGTCGGCTACGTGGTGTTCGTGCGCCTCTCTCTCTATCGGTGTGTATATGCGCGATTTGCCCCGAGTCCGCGCCTCGACTTGATGACATGGCGTCCTAGCGCTGCACGGGTAAAGTCGCACGTCCTCGGTGGAGAGGCTCTCACCCCGTCGTCGAAACAACCGCATCCCAGGATGCCAAGGTAAGTCGACGTGGTGGTGCATAGTGTTAAATTTACCGTACGTACCGTGAACGGCATCTGGTCGGGCTGTTACGGATTTCGGGTGTCATCGGGGAAAACCGGGCGGTGTCGATAAGCTGAAAAAAATCTACCGTCGTGTGCGCCTCGAGGCTCGAGCTCATTTCGTCAAACCAGGTAGGGTCGTTGCCATCGAGCCTACCCTACGAATCGATATTACCAGTGCGGAGGCGAGGATGCTTCTTTCTCTCTCTCACACTTTCTCCCTCCTTATTTCTATACCCGTCTTTCACCTCCCTCTCGCTCTATTCGCCACCTTGTTGTTATCTCAGTTTCGCTATTCGTCGTGTCGTGCTCTCGTTGTTGCTGTGCGGTGTTGTATATTCAAAATCGCGAGTGTTGCATGCTATGCGCAAATGATTTTGTGCGCGTGTGCGTGTGCGCGCCCGTGCACGAGCGCGACGGTGCGATATCGTGTGTGTAGGAAGGGTTAATATCGCGGGAGCAAGAGAGAGGAACGATTTGCGGGGTAAAAGGAGAGAGGTTAGTTTCACAGTTTCTTGGAAAAAGATGGAGAAAAAGTGTGGCGCGCGTGCAAGGAGGATATACTACGTGGCTTATCGGCGCATCGACGACAGCGTGCCTCTCGACGTGGATTTTCGCTCGACGAGAGGGTTGCGTAAATCTTCTCTCCCTCCTCTTTCCCTCGTCTGTTGGAATCACTCTGTCTTCCTTGTGTACTTCGTCCCTCTCCTCCCTTACCGTTTTCTCTTTCTCTCTCTCGAACGTGTGTCGCAGTCGGGTATGGCGCTGCCCATAGGCGCCGATACGCCCCGGGGTGTCGAGGCTGACTCGACTCGAGTCGAGTCGTTTCGTTCGTCCATCCGCCGACCATCCTCCCCCTTGTTGTATTCATTGAGCCGCTCGTTCCCCAGTACGCCTCTGCAGTTCCTTCCCTCGCGAGGGAGCATCGCTGTTGCCTGCCGATAGTGCTCACTTCCTCCTCGTCATTTTTCCCCGTTTCTCTCTTGCATTCTCGTATTCGGCTAATGTAGCCTTCGGACTCGCTTTTGCAATCGTTACCACGTACCATAACAGGTGAGTTGTGTACATATACATACCTTACTCGTCTTTGCAAATGCGCGAGATCGGATCAGTGCCACAGCCTCGAGCCTCGAGCACGTGTCAGAACGTGCCTTTCGGTCGGCAGTGTCACCGCGCGCGCGTTAATTAATCGGTTCGTTGCTACATTGTTGTGAAAAATTATGTAACCTGTGCCTACTGGGATTACTGTATTAAAAAAAATTAAAAAAAAAAAAAAAAAAAAAATGAGGTGTTTGCAATTTGGAAAAAAGAAAGTACCGTGAATGAGCAAGCACGTGAAGAGTGGTGATATACGGGCGGATCGGTGTGGATACAGGTGCGTCGTGTGTAACTGTGCTTCCATTCTATTTACAATTTGTGTAGTTTTTTCGTCATTTTCGATCGTTTAACGCAAATCTATGGAAAGATTTACGTTTCAACATGACAGACTTACTTTTCTCGCGTTTTGAAATATGTGGAAATTTGTATGGTTATCCTCAATCCCCCAAAAGTGAATTCTATGAATTTTGGAAAATTGTTCTTGTACGTTTCGCGAATATTTCGAATTTTTAAATCCATTTTGCATTTTGTGGAAAACGTTAAGGTACAGGTTTACCGTTAGCCAACGAATTCAGCTATCTTGAACACGGAATTGTTATCTTTGAGATACAGACACACTTGAACAGAGATTGGCTTAGCTTATATCGCGTTATACATCGTATAATTATTAAGTATTTTTCTTCACGGTTTTGATGATATATATTGTCTGGTGTAAAATATTTTACTTTTCTGTTCGACGAAAAAAGCGTTCTTCTATAGACCTCCCGCCAAGTGAAATAACCTAACGACCACGTGGTTTGAACACGTGGTGTCTTTGTTGGCTCAACTATTCCATTTTTAGTAGTATTGTGAATTCCTATGTGTTGATGCATTCATTGTATTATTCGGGGAGATTTCCTACACATTTTCTTCGTATCGTGTCGTAAAGAAAGACATCAATTCTTACATATCAATAATGTCTCCTCAGTGAGTAATAAATTTACATTAATTCTCTATGAAATTCTCTATTAGATATATATTTAGATGTAGTATTCATTTTTAATATTTATTTATGATGTGACAATATTTTCATTCGAAAAAAAAAAAAAGTTACATTCAAGGACGGTATCGTGAATGTTATTCGTGACACTGTGCCGAATCATATGTGGATTTAAAAAAAAGCTACGTGACCTGTGTGTAAGCGACAAGTGTTGGCTTGTGCACTGAAGCACAACATATATCCGTACCCACGTGTGTTTCGATGAGAACTTACATGGGACTTCCTGCGGGTTCCTGATTAAAGTAGCGTGTCGATTTTATCGTGGTACCCGCGAGGGGTTGAATCGTCGATTATAGTGGTGATGATGGTGGTCGTATACATAATATGGGGAGGGTTAGACTAAATAGCTTTATGCATAGGGTCCACCTCTTGTGATGGTAATATTGTGCTAATTTATTAGTGCGACAAGTATCATTTGTTGATTCATCGTAGTTCGTATGTGAATGTGATTTCGTATGTTTCAAATCTCCCGCGCTTACACATGGTTGTCGATAATATAGGTTTCTATCATTGCGATTCACTCGTAAGTATGCTGATAGCACTCTGAGGAAAGATTAAAGTAAACGATATTTCCTGAATAATTTCTCGCTTTGATGTATCACGGGAAACGTAGCTATCGAGTCGGGTCTGAAGTTCGACGATATCCTGTTACCTCGTATTTATTATTCATCGAAATGTACACGAACACGAACATTTACAGATAAATGTATTTTCTATATTTTGACAGGCATCGATAAACATAAAGAAGTAGATCGTCGTTGTGAAAATTAAGGGTAACATCGAAGAGATACTACGAGCTACCGATTTCTATTTTACGGGCAAAAAGCGTGTACACAATCTAAAGTGCGTGCGCCTGCGCATTCGTGTAACGGTGATGACTGTGCAACGTGCTGCCTCTCCCTGTACTCTTCATCCGTTGTTCCTTTTATTACGTGTGTGGATTACGGCTGCGTGGTCGTCAGGATATATCCATTACAAGAATATCGGGCTCCGACAGTAGTTTGCACTTTTGCCAACTCGTCGTAGTTTTGATTTTCAGACGGATACAACGTGACGTACGTTTATTTGCAATCTCGTTTTTTTCTCTCGAAATCCTTGGATTCTTCGAAAAAATGCCGTGAAAAATAATCGAATCAATCGCTTAATCAACGACGTAACAGGACGGGGGTAGTTGGAAAAGTAAAGGTAGAAAAATGATTTAAAATATGATTGTTCTCATTGTTACG